CAGTTCTACTTATACTGAGATTGTTTTCCAGACTTTTACAGTTCTCATTTCTAAAAAAAAAAAAAAAGCTATTTATTTGGAGATAATTTGAAATATACACACAAAAAGCAAAACTAAGATAGAACAAAGAACACATACACTTTTTACTCAAATTCTATGAACAGTTTTACTCCATTTACTTTTTTATTTTCTCCCTCTTCCCCTTGTTTTTTCCTGTTTCATTTGAGGCTAAGTTACATACACCATGGCCTTTTACTCCTAAATACTATGATGTGTATTCTTCTTTTAAAAAATATACTTTTGATTTCAGAGAGGAAGGAAGAGGGAGAGGAGCTAGAAACATCAATGATGAGAGAAAATCATTGATCAGCTGCCTCCTGCAAGCCTCCCACTGGGGATCTAGCCCACAACCCAGGCATGTGCCCTTGACCGGAATCGAACCTGGGACCTTTCAGTTCACAGGCCGACGCTCTATGCACTGAGCCAAACCGGCTAGGGCTTGATGTGTATTCTTAAGAATGGGGATATTCTCCTATATAACCACAGTACAATGACTAACTTTAATAAATTTAACAATGCACAGTTTTCCTAATCTACTATTGTATACCAGTTTTGTCATGGATCCAATAATGTTCTAATTTACAGCATAACTTTCCCTCCAACACAGCAAGCCTCGGAGGTCAATCCCACCAGTCCGGGAGGCATGGAGGGAGCCCGGAGCTGGCTCTCAGAGGTCCGGCTTCTGGGAAATGGCCATCCCTGAACCAACAGCAAAGGCACAGGGAAGGGACTCACTGGAGCCTTCCAGTGGGGACAACCCCCTGGACTCATAGTGAGGGAGACTCTTTTCCCAAAGCGAAAGCACGGGTGCTGGGCAGACAAACAGCACATGGTAAGCGCCTGCATCATTTAGGAAGTGGTTCTCAAAGTGTGGTCCCCAGATCAGCAGCAACCCCTGGGAACTTATTTCAAATACAAGTTCTCCAGCCCTTCTCCAGGAGTGGGGCCCAGCAACCTGTCATTTCACAAGCCCCCCAGGTGACTCTGATGGCCTCGTTGTAGGACATAAGCTAAGTCGCTATAACAGAGGGACTTTAGCCCTAGCTGGTTTGGCTCAGTGGATAGCGCATCAGCCTGCGGGCTGAAGGGTTCCAAGTTCCATTCCAGTCAAGGGCACATACCCGGATTCCAGGCTCGATCCCCAGTAGGGGGCGTGCAGGAGGCAGCCGATCAGTGATTCTCATGGATGTTTCTATCTCTCTCTCCCTCTCCCTTCCTCTCTGAAATCAATAAAAATAAAAACAAAGAGACTTCAAAATATGACAACTAAACTAAAAAAGGAGTTTACTCTCACACATACTCCAGGTGTGAATGACCAGGTTGGCAGGGGCCCAAGTTCTTTCCACTATGACCCAGCTGTGCTGTGGGCTATTTTGCAGCCATCCCCAGCTGTTGTATTACTTCACTTCATGATTATTTTTTAATATATTTTTATTGATTTAAGAGAGGAAGGGAGAGGAAGAGGTAGAAACATCAATGATGAGAGAGAATCATTGATTGGCAGCCTCCTGCACACCCTCTACTGGGCATCAAGCTACAACCCGGGCATGTGCCCTTGACTGGAATCAAACCAGGGACCCTTCAGTCCGCAGGCCAAAGCTCTATCCACGGAGCCAACCCAGCCAGGGCTCATGATTATTTTTGAATGGTTCAGAAAAGGATTCCAGCCCTGACCAGTTTGGCTCAGTGGATAGAGCGTTGGCCTGCGGACTGAAAGGTCCCAGGTTCAATTCCGGTCAAGGGCATGTACCTTGGTTGTGGGCACGTCCCCAGTAGGGGGTGTGCAGAAGGCAGCTGATGGATGTTTCTCTCTCATCGATGTTTCTAACTCTCTATCCCTCTCCCTTCCTCTCTGTAAAAAAATCAATAAAATATATTTAAAAATAAAAAAAAGACAAGGACTCCAGAGCCAGACTCTGCCACTTAGTAGCTGTGTGACCTTGGGTAAGTCTCCTAACCTCTTTGTGCTTCAAATGAGGAAAATGGAGATGATAACAGCCCATTTCATAGGGCTGCTGGGATAAATGAGGTGAGATATATATACATACCTGGTACATAGGCAGCGCTATTGGGCAACGATGATGGTGATATGTGATGACAACGACAACTACAGTGAGGACCTTAGTCTGGAGACCAAAGGCTGGAAGGTGCTCGCTGATGATTGAGCATCGGCCCCTGGGGCTTGAGCATCGGCCACTGGGGCTTGAGCATCGGCCATTGGGGCTTGCGGGCGGCTTGAGATGACCAGCAGGGGAGCTGTGGTGCATGAGCTGCAAGCACGGTGACTTCCTGGACTGTTTCCCTCTGGACATTCCAAGGGCCCGACCGCACGGGGGCTGGACATGTGTGTGTGGGGGGGAGGGGGAGGGCATGATGAAGGCCAGATCCTTGGCACAGCCACCAGGTCCGGTGGGGGTGAGAGGGATGTTTGGGGTTCTCAAAACCTCTCCCCAGCCCACTCCCAGGATGCTTAAATTCTGCCTCAAAGTTTTCCTGCACTGTTAGCCACCCTGTCCCCATTTCTGGGACATTTATACAGCAAGGGGGTCATGGGATGCCCGCCGTGGGGATGTTTGGGAATTGCCTACAATGTTTGTGTATTTTCTTCTGTGAGTGTCCAGAGCTTTCCACAGATTTTCAAAGGGATCTAAAACCCCAGAAACGGTTTGGAACTCTATCTCTTCCTCCAGGAAGCCTTCCCTGATGTTCTCTCAGACTGGGTCAGGTGCCTCCTCTGATCGTCCCCATCCTGCCCTGACGCTCTGCTTGTGCCTTCCCCGCCTGAGCACAGATGGTCATGTCTGGTGATGTGTCAATGTCACTACTGAAGCTTCATGAAGGCAGGGACCAGGGATTAGTGATGCACCAAAAATGTCACCAGCATTGTCCAACACAGGCACTGACATGCCAAAAGAAAAAAAAAAAAGATATTTAAAGATATCTGCCTTCCTTACCTCTGGGCCTTTTCAGATGCTGTTCCCTCCACCTGGAACACCCTCCTCCACGACTTCATCTGGCTCATTTTCCCACACCGTTCAGGTTTCAGCTCAGATATCTCCCCCACCAAGAGCCCTCCCAGCTCTTACCCCCAAGGTTGATTTAAAGTTTGTGTTCCAAACACTCACTTATTACAAAGCAGATATAGAGAAAATTTGTTGAATGAATGACTGAGGGGTCAATGTTTGGGCCAGGTTCCCTGATCAGCTGGAGGGTCGCTTCCTGACACCTTTTTCTAGAGTTTTCTTTTTCTTTTCAATGGTTTTGTTGAGCTACACTGTACATACCATACAGCTCACTCCTGTGCAGAGTGCGGCTCAGTGGTTTTAGTAGAGGTGTGCAGTTATCGCCCCGTTGTGGAGTTCTGAGCCCCTCAGAGTCTGACCCCCTCCCCGCCAGGGCCCCTGTGCTAGGTGTTTCTCACTGTCCCATTGAAGGCAGTGGTTCTCAACCTTCCTAATGCCGCGACCCTTTAATACCATTCCTCATGTTGTGGTGACCCCCAATTTCATTGTTACAAATTGAACATAATTAAAGCATAGTGATTAATCACAAAAACAATATGTAATTATATATGTGTTTTCCGATGGTCTTAGGCGACCCCTGTGAAAGGGTCGTTCGACCCCAAAGGGGTCGCGACCCACAGGTTGAGAACCACTGCATTGAAGGGGATAGAGTCTGGCTCCTCCCCAGACAGGAGGATCAGGAAAAGAACCGGACCTAGCCATCTGCCCTTTCTATCTGCCCCACCCCAGGGCTCGCCATTTCCCTGGAGGCCCGGGACTATGCTAACAGTCACTGAGCCCTTGCTATGTGCCAAGTGCAGTGCTAAGCACTGGCCACAGGGGACAATTCATTTAACCACCAACAGCCTGTAGACCAGGCCCTATGCTAGCATCCTCCAAGTGGCCCCCTGGGAGCGCCACTCCTCCTGAAGCGCTGGAGGTGCACAGGGGTCTGGGCAGGAAGGAGTCCCTGTCCGCCATCACACAACTTGAGCTGTACCTGGGAGATTAAAACTGGTGGCCCATGGGCCAGATAGGACCCACAAGGTGGTTATAAAAAAAGATTATTTTAAATCGGGAGACTTCCCTCTCTGTTTCGCTCCCTTAAGCAGGTCGTGGACCCTCACCTTTGTCCTGCACCTGCCTTATCCTGCACTCTCTACCTCATTCACCTGGTCCCATGAGCATCTGCGCTTGAGACCCTGACAGCAACAGGTGGGTGGAGAAGACGCAGTTCAGTGCCAAGGAGCCCCCTCTGTCCCCTGGGATAATGCCCAACAGGCTGTTTTATGTTCTTTTTGGGGGGTGTATTTTGGACTCCCGACATGGCCAGGAAGTAGGCGGCGGCACTGGGCCTCCCTGCTGGGTACTCATCCTCACAGGCAGCTCACTCCAGCCTCCCCGGGACTGCCACTTTCTGCCACTTTCTGCTTTTCACAGCCAACGCTGGCGCCCGGGCCTGGGTTTACCCCTCCAGGCAGCCCTGCGCCCACGTCCCACTAGTCCCAGAGTCGCCTTTTACTTCTCTGGGGAGCCCTCTGGCTGGCTCCTCCATCCCATTCCTTCCCGGGAGGGGAAGAGACAGCTCCTGCGGTATTTATTGGGAGAGTCGGTTCTGTAGTTAAAAATCCAGAGGCAAGATCTAAACCGAGATTAGAGAGAATGAAATAGACAGAGGGGGTGGGGGTGGGGGGAAAGAGAAAGACAAACAGAGACTAAAAGAATCAGGCAGAGAAAATGTAGCAGAAAGGAGACAGAGAAGACAGAACAAAGAGAGAAACAGACGGAGGAGAAAGACGGAGATAGAATGCGCGACGGAGGCGCGGGAGCGAAGAGCCCAGGAGCCGGGATGGGCAGGGGTGTAACCCAGCGGCTCAAAGAACAAACTCTGGGGCCAGACTGAGAACCTGGGCAGAAGGAGGCAGCAGGTACGAAGTAGGTGTTTAAAATGGAAAACGTTTATAAAAAGGAGCGGAAATATGAGGGGCCGTGGGCTAGGCCTGGGCCGGCGGCGTCGGTAGAGGGGCTGGGGGTGCAAGAGGCGTCCCCGCTTCCATCTGTCAGTCAGTCGTCCCTCTGCTCGGCTTCCCGTGTGCGCACGCGCACCGGCGGGCGGGCGCGGGGACGGCGCTGCGGGCTCAGGCCCGGGGGCGGGCGGGCGCGCAGTGGTGCGGCTGGTGCGTGGGTGCGAACCCGGGGCGGCAGATGCAGCGGAAGGAGCCGTCGGTGTTGATGCAGCGCGCGTTGACGCAGAGTGAAGCCGCCGCCTCCGCCTCGTCGCACTCGTTCACGTCTGGGGAAGGGGCACAGGGGGTGCTCGGGAGCTCCGGGCCGAGGGTGCGCGCGGAGCCTCCTGGCCGAGCGCGAGCCTGGCCCCGCCGCCCGTGGCTGTGTAGCCTGCACAGGGGGCGGACTTTCTGTGCCCCAGCTCTGCTCTGTAGGGTGGGTACGGCAGCCCCACGTCACTAGGTTTTTGTTAGGAAAATAATACTGATGGTATCAACCACGGTCAGTGCCTCCTCCAAACCAGGCATGCATTAAGCACGCTACCTGCGTTAACTGCCCCCCTCCCGGTCCCTGTGAAGGCCTGTGACTCCCTTATCACATTACCCTCACACGGCAGATTATCTTTGTTAACTGGACAGTGCTATTTGTGAAGGGGAGGTGTCAGATTCCTCACTTATTTATTGAACGTCGGGAGGAGTATGAGCCACGAATAAACGCTTAGTTATTTAGGGCAAAAAGTGGCCCACCATTTACCCGATGGGGATGTCATTAACACCTGGGTCGCTCAGCAGATAGGAAATAAAGATATATATATATGGTTATTGATGAGAGGTGATGCACAACACTACTACTTGAATTATCACCCTCGGGAGAGTGTCCTAGAAAGTCGTTGTACCCTTTATTTCTGAAAAAAACCCCCC